CACTCAGGTCTAAGTCTCATGGCCCTCTATCAGAATCCAGAGTTTTGAGAAGATTGGGGATACTTAATTTTTCGCCAAAAAAAAAAAAAAACGTAAGGGGTAACACTGTCGTTTTTTTTTTCGGGTCGAAATTTTGATTTTCGATATCTCAGCTCTGGAAGGGTCTAGAGCCTCCATTGTTGCACTCAGGTCTATGTCTCATGGCCCTCTATCAGAATCCAGAGTTTTGAGAAGATTGGGGATACTTAATTTTTCGCCCAAAAAAAAACCGTAAGGGGTAACACTGTCGTTTTTTTTCTGGTCGAAATTTTGAATTTCGATATCTCAGCTTTGGAAGGGTCTAGAGCCTCCATTGTTGCACTCAGGTCTAAGTCTCATGGCCCTCTATCAGAATCCAGAGTTTTGAGAAGATTGGGGATACTTAATTTTTCGCCCCAAAAAAAAAAACGTAAGGGGTAACACTGTCATTTTTTTTTCGGGTCGAAATTTTGAGTTTCGATATCTCAGCACTGGAAGGGTCTAGAGCCTCCATTGTTGCACTCAAGTCTAAGTCTCATGGCCCTCCATCAGAATCCAGAGTTTTGAGAAGATTGGGGATACTAAATTTTTCGCCCAAAAAAAAAACGTAAGGGGTAACACTGTCGTTTTTTTTTTTCTGGTCGAAATTTTGAATTTCGATATCATAGCTCTGGAAGGGTCTAGAGCCTCCATTGTTGCACTCAGGTCTAAGGCTCATGGCCCTCTATCAGAATCCAGAGTTTTGAGAAGTGTGGGGATACTTAATTTTTCACCCAAAAAAACCCCCGTAAGGGGTAACACTGTCGTTTTTTTTTTTTTCGGGTCGAAATTTTGAATTTCGATATCTCAGCACTGGAAGGGTCTAGAGCCTCCATTGTTGCACTCAGGTCTATGTCTCATGGCCCTCTTCAAGTAAATGTACTCCGATACTGTCCGTCTCAGTTTTTCCGGTGTCCCCCAGCTCCTCGTTTAAGCAAAAGGTACTTTAAAACAACGTATTACATCGACGTTAAACCACGTTAACCGTGTTAACCATAACCTTTTAAATACTCGACCTAGTTCCGTTGTTTAGCAACGAGAAGAAACTCCTGTAACTTCAGTGCCCAACCCATCACGACAAGACGTGAAATAATCACGTTGGTCCACTTTGGAAAAATGTCACGGTTTAACTGCAGTGATAGTTTAAACTCAAAACCATAAATAGGGCTATACTGCCCTCTTGTGTCAAATTCTTTCTATATTTATTTTTCCAACAAATAACCCGCAATAAAAATCCATCCAATACAACTTTGAACTCAACACATTCAGTGGCTCAGTTGATAAAGCGTTGGGCTTCAATCAAGAAGACCTGAGTTCAAATCCCAGTCTTGCTTACATTAAATTGTTGTGATTTTATCAAACAAAGTGGCCAAAACAACATTTCTCCAGCCGACAAGACGTGAAATAATCACTTTGGTCCACTTTGGAAAACGTGTAGATGTCACGGTTTCACTCCCTCAAACTAGAAACTTACACTTACAAGTTATCTTTGGAGTTATTTCGCTATTACTCTCAAATACACACAAGGTTTACATAAAAACATTTGGTTATGTCTAAACTCAAAGCAAACCGAGAAAATTGAGAGAAATCTGCTTGTCAAATGCTCCGTGTATATTAGACGCTTTGCGCATAGGTCTTAAAGTGACAGTAGCCCTAATAATAAACATGCAGCCGCTTGTTCTTAAAGGGATAGTTGACCCCAAAATAAAAATTCTGTCATTGTTTATTCACTGTAATGTTGTTCCAAACCTATATTAATTTATTTCTTGTGCTGAACAAAAAAGATATTTTGAAGAATGTGGGTAACCAGACAGTTGCTGGTCCCCATTGACATCCATAGGGAAAAATTTACTATGGAAAATTACTATATTTAAATACTATAAAACTATATACTACATACTATATAAAATACTATATTTTCCTGCTTTTTTGTCCTTAGCCAATCACATGCCTGATTGATGTGGCATCCATATATATAAAAAAAGATTTGCCATATGCAGCTGTTTCTATTTGGCACCATAAATCGAAACTGATTTCCCCCTTGGTGTTGAATAGAACATTCCAGCTTTTGGGGCAAATTTTCTTTGTCGTTTACTCAACTTACCCATGGTTAACTTTGTTAATGTTAATGTTTGTTTTTTTCTCCAGCCCTCTGCCATGGCTGCTGATATTGAGAGAGCTGTCACCCTGCCAAGCACACCTCGATTAGTTGTCCCAGGTATAATCTTCCCTTATTTTGTAAAAGTTAATTCTTTATTGAATTCATGTGTTTGACGGAGGACTGTTGCACATAAAAAAATAATTTATTTGAGTTGTTGATGGAGGGTGTACGGGTCAAAGGAGATAATAATGTTCAAGTGGTGGTGTGGAAGTCTTTCTCCACTTGAACATTACTGAATTCATCTAGGTGGCAATAGTGTGTTGTGCAGCTTTTAGTTATCATATTGTTAATGTTTCATATCATATTGTTATCATAATGTTTTAGAAGAGATACTTCGTGGCCCAGACACATGGAATATCTCCGTGGAAGGAGCATGTGTGATGGGGCCCCACAGTAACCTCCTGCATGGACTGGCAGCAGTCTTCGCTGCCTACTTTGTCTTTAACTTGCAATATCCAGCAGAAGTCGCAAGCACACTTGAATTCCTTCAGAGGTGAGTTTAAACATGACACTGTCATGAAAATGATTATAGCAATTATGGAGGTATATTTGATTTAAATCAACTTAATGCCTGTGACAGTGCGATTTGTAGTTGTAGAGAAAATCCACACATTACACACACACACACACACACATCAAGAAATGTGAAGTTGTGGAGAAATTTTGCACATGCTCAAATCAGTATGTGAATTTACCCAAATCATTTTAAGCGAACTTAAAATACAATTGTGCATCATTTCATAAAGTTCATATACGTTTATGAAATGAAATGCACAATTGTATTTTAAGTTCACGCTGAAACTATACATTTTTCTTTTTCTTTTTTAAATAATCCATTAAACTTGCTGAGAAATGATTGTGTGAACTAAAATGAGCAGTATACATATACAAGACATATACAAGAAATATTCTTCAAGGTTGCAACTCTCATTGCGAATTCACATATTGATTTACAGTTGTTCATAAATTTCTCCACGACTTCACATTTCTTGATGCTGGTGTATAAATGCGTTTCACACCAAATCACTGCAGCAACTGTATCAAAAATGTGAGCGTACAAGTTCATTAAAGGGATAGTTCACTTTGAAATTAATTTTTGATATGTTTTAGCTTACCTCAAGGGCATCCAAGATATAGGTGTCTTTGTTTCCACAGTATTTTCCATTTTGATATATTTTTAGGTCAAACCGTTCCTGTCTGTCAGTCATATAATGGAGGTGTATGGTCACCACTTCAAAGAGCATGCACAGAGAAGTCCAAATTAAACTAGATTCAATGACTCATAAATGTAAGGCCACATTGATGGCCTAAGACATGAAACAAGTGGTTTGTGTGAGAAAACGAACAGTATTTATATCGTTTTTACCTCTTGTAACCACAGCCGTATCCAACTGATCTGACGGCACGGGCGCTTTGGTCTGCACAAGCCCCGGAAGTGATCTCTTGTGCATGTACACACATTGTTTACACAGATTTTAGAAGTTTAACTTTTCACTGTGAAGATCTAAACATATTTAGATGTACAGGAAATCGCAATGGAAGACGATTTCGATATTTAGATCTTCACAGTGAAAGGTAAAACTTCCGAAATCTGTGTAAACAATGAGTGACGCACATGCGCGAGAGATCACTTCCGGGGCTTTCTGGCGCGCTTGCGCAGATAGAAGCGGCCTCGCCCTCAGAGTACTTGGACGTCACTGCGATTACACAAGGTAAAAACGATATTAATACCGTTTGTTTTCTCTCACAAACCGCTCGTTTCGTGTCTTAGGCCATCAATGTGTACTTACATTTACGAGTCATTCAATCATGTTTAATTTAGACTTCTCTGTGCATGCTCTTTGAGGTGGGCCCTATAAATCTCCATTATATGATGCATAGACAACGACGGTTTGTCCTAAAAATATCAAAATTGAAAATACTGTGGAAACAAAGACACCTACATCTTGGATGCCCTTGAGGTAAGCTAAAACATCAAAAGGAATTTGAGATGGTGTAATTTGGGAGAGAAAAAATGTTTACAAGTTTGCAACTCTTAAAATATTTCTCTCTTTGGCTTCAAATTTACTGATACACATGCATGGCTTTTGTCTATAACTACAAATCACACTGTCACAGGCGTTCAGTTGATTTGAATCAAATATACCTCCATTAGTAATGACGAAAACGAACAGTATTTATGTTGTTTTTACCTCTTGTAATCACAGCCACGTTCAAGTGATCTAAGGGCACGGGCGCTTTGTGGCTGTGGCTACATGAGGTAAAAACGATATAAATACTGTTCATTTTCTCACACAAACCGCTCGTTTCGTGTCTTAGGCCATCAATGTTTACTTACATTTACGAGTCATTAAATCATGTTTAATTTGGACTTCTCTGTGCATGCTCTTTGAGGTGGTGACAATAGACCTCCATTACATGACTGACAGACAGATATCAAAATTGAAAATACTGTGGAAACAAAGACACCTACATCTTGGATACCCTTGAGGTAAGCTAAAACATACCAAAAATGTATATCAAAGTGAACTATCCCTGTAATGTTTCATGTCATGGTAATGACCATGTCATATCAGTCTTAAATGTTATCTGATAAGTGTGTTTCCCTCCCTGTTTTCAGAGCCTTTTGCAGCATCCCCAGATGGGCAGGCAGAGAAAAAAACGTCCAAAATGTGCATTGTGGACTCGTTTTCTCATTAGTTTTAAGAGAAAATAAAAATATATATTTAAAAAAAAAGTGTTTTGTTTTTCTTTGCAGAAGTCTGAAAGAGGATATATATCTAAGTTACAATATTTAATTGTAATATTTACAATATGCTGTCCTATGAAATTACAGAAAATACCTAAAATTACAGGAAATTCCTGGCTACTGAGTTGCCGTAAATATAAAATTTTGCTGTAAAATTTACAGTATTCTATCCTGTAAAATTACAGTATCTTGTTGTAGTTATTTTACAATAGCAGTCCTGTATACTGTTTACAGTAAATTTACGGCAACTATTAGCCAGGAATTTCCTGTAAAATTACAAGAAATTTCTAACAGTGCAGCTTCTCCATGGCTGCCCATGTGTCTCTGTAGTGAGATTCATCATATCGAATAGTGCCATCAGGATGCTTCGGCATCAGCTCTTCTCCTCTCCTGGAAGAATTTAAAACACACTATCTATAATATTTTGTAACACGCATGAAACCATATTGAAAAAATAAAAAAAAAATACACATGCAACCAAAAGAACCAATCATTTTAGCTAATTTTTGCACTTTATCCCAATCTAAACTTATTCTGTTCAGATGCACTAACTTTTTTTTTTTTTTTTAAGAAATTAATAATTTTATTCCCCAAGGATTTTGTTAAATTGAGCAAAAGTGACAGGAAAGGCATTTATAATTCTATATAATTCAATGCTTGCAATTATGTATTGTGAAAAGTGCTATACAAATAAATGTTAATAGCTTAAAAGTTTCCACAAAAAATATTAAGCAGCACTACTGTTTTTAACAATGATAAGTAGAATGAAAATCAGCATATTAGAATGATGTCTGAAGACTGGAGTAATAATGCTGAAAAATCAGCTTTTCCATCACAGGACTACATTATATTTTACAATATACCCAGCCTAATCAAATAAAATCTAGTTATTTTAAATTGTAATAATATTTCACAGTACTGTATTTTTGATCAAATAAATGCCGCAAATTAAGAGACCTATTACATTTGAAGTGTATGTTGGTGAATGTCAGAAAAATTGCTCTGCTATTCAAGATCTGAGTACGGTATGGAAACACAATGACTTACTCAAAGGCCATTGGCCAGTGCATGAGATACAGGTCCAGATAACAGAGCCTCAGATCTGACAAAGACCTTTTGCAGGCCTCCTCGACATCATCTGGATGGTGTTTGGTGTTCCACAACTTGGAGGTCACAAAAATGTCTTCTCGTCTCAGGGACTATATGGTAGTCATAAATAGTACAAATTTCATTAGTGGAACGTGATGATGGTGAGCTTATTGATGATTTTGTCTGCAGGTAGGCTACTTTTCCTGGTCCAAGTAGTTCAGACAGGGCCTCTCTCCGACCTCCCGCTCATTGCCGTAAGCCGCTGCGCAGTCAATGTGCCTGTAGCCACAGTCTAACGCTGCTAGAACAGCCTGCTTCAACTGTACGACACAATCCAATCTAGTTCTGATACCATCAATACATAATAAAGAAGCTAACAAACACAAGAAAATGCTACCATAACATACTGCACAGAAGTCACATTTTGGGCTGTTTTGGACATTTTTATCAGCTAATGTCTGTTTTGTCTGACATATGATGAGATGGGAAAGGGTTTACACACCTGTCCTGGGGCACTTTTCCATGTTCCTAGGCCCACCGATGGCATCTGCTGACCCGTGGAGAGAGTGATTGTTTCTGTCATGCTTAAATTAGACCACGTAACAAAAATGAGACATTTTCAGAATAGCAAAACTAATTACAGACTTGAATATCATTTTTGTTTGGCTAATTATAAAATAAAAAAACATAGTTATTCTGATAAATACATAGTATTAATGGTTCAATGTTGTCATTTAATGTGTTTAGATAAGCAGTATCTGAACACAAAACTAACTTAACATAAAAATGAACTTTTTGTTTTTCTAGTTTGAACATTGAAAATTAAATAGTTGAAAATATTTAAAACATTTGACATAGCAGAATGAAAGATTTAGTACATATCTTACCTTTCCAGTATGCAGACTTAGACTGACACAGTTAGAGTTGTATACTTTAAGGTCAAAGTCTTTGTTTACTCGTTTCCTAAAAGGCTTGAACAACAACCAAAAGCCATGCGCACAGCTACAGCTATCTGATGAACATTCGGACCTACATTCAGACAATCTGTTTTAATCTTGCTGAACAGCATTGGTGTCATTGTTTGTCAGTGTGGCTTTGGGGGGAATGGAGTTAATGAAATGACTTGAGTCAGGAAACGGCATCTGTTTATTCTGGATGTTTTCACAATGGAGCCGTAGCCTATATCAAAACATTTTAGAGTCAGTGACATTCTGGCATGCTCAGGTTTAGCGCTCTCAGCTGTCACGGCCCTCCCGCTGGACAAATATAGAGCCAACGAATTATTACTGTCTGTCTGCCTCATGACTGCTCCAAGTGTTGTGACCTGGCAGCGCGCTCGACTCAAGGCCCACTCCACTTCCCTTATGTGGTCAGGCAGAAGAAATGTCTTAGTCACCTTACAGAAGGGGAAACCCCTGCAAACCCCTGAAGAATATTATTGATTGTGGACTCACTCACTGGTAGTCTAATAGCACCAATGGCTCATTTTAAAGTGAGGGTACTCTCTGAACGGTTGTAATACATATAATATGTGGGTAGTGTGTGTTGTAGGCCTACACCTCATTGTGGCAATGGGAGGTGCATTTTAATTAGAAAAAAAAAATCCGAAACTATTATTGATGATTAGTGATTATTAATTATAATGTAAAAGCTGTGATTAAAGTTAAATAAAATAAAATTTTGACAAAACATTCTTATGAAGCATTTACACAGAACATGCTTATATTTTAACTCTTTTCCCGCCAAGTAACCCGAGAGTGCAGTCTGGACGATTGGGGCGGCGCCACATATTAAGGCGGGGTAACACGTGTTACTCCGCCCACACCCGATTTCATTGGTTTATAATACAGCAATCTTATTGACGTCGTAGACGCTTGAGGCATGGCACGAGTTTATGAATGATCTAGTACGCTGTTTGGCCATAGGAAATATTAAGTGATAATCATGGCGACATCAGTAAAGATCAGTTGGATAATGTTTTGATTGATTTACATAAATCAAGTTAGATGAAGTTACTGTCAAAATCATTTCACGTCATTTCAAAGCAGCTTTACAAAAAGTAATATTGTAAGCTTTAATATTGAGAAGTTTTAGGGCTGGGCGATTAGGGCAATTTTACATCAGTCATTTATGTTTCTTCATTTTTAATTAGGGTAAGTTAATAAACACGAACTTTACACAAATGATGATAATTTACTGTATTTCAGTAAGACATCGGATAAATCTGAAAGTGTGTTTTATTTTATTTTAAAGCTAAAAACACAAGGAACTGCCGCACACTATCAATAAATAAGTATCAAAATGTTATTAGCAATGTTTCGGTCTCACGAAATTCATCAGACATATAGTACAACTATTCAAGCTCAATCCCATTTAAAATGATAACACCATTCACCGTAAAGATCCATTTGTAATCAATTAAGCTCAATGAGAATGAATACATAATTAAACACCACATCATCATAAACAGTTACAAACACAATATTCAAAATTGATAATATGATGATGTGGTGTTAATTATGGATTCAGTCTCATTGAGCTTAGAAATTATAGGACAGAAATGTTGCTAATAAAATTTTGATAGCCTGCAAGTATATTGTTGTTTTTTCTTCGATTTTTGACCTGACCTACCGTTTAGTCTTTTTTCCCACGCATCACCTGCAGGTGATTGATTGTCATCTGTTGTCTCTCTCCATTTTTTTAAGTTGTGAAAACACTATTACTGTTACGAGGCTGGAGACGAGATAGGATCCAAGTGCAGCTTTAATAGAGAGTAGTTGAACAGGCAAGGGTCAGAGAGCGGCAAAACAGGGTATCCAGAGAGTGAGCACAGAGAATCGTCAGTTAACAGGCAGAAGATCGGGGCAGGCAGCAAACAGGCAGAAGTCAGGAAACAAACCAGGATCAAAACCAGAGAAACAAGAAACAGAATAAACGCTCAGAAATTACAAGCCGTGGCAATGCAATACTTCGCAAGGAGTCCTTGTTTGAGTGTGGCTTATATAGGCAGTCTGAAATGAGGTGCAGGTGTGTGTGTAATCAGTCACAGGGATGAGGCATTATGGGAAACGGAGTTCTGGTGAAGTGATCAGTTCTGATGTGGAGTGCCCTCTGGTGATTCTCTGGGGCACTCCAACTGCGAAAACACAAAATATATATTCAATGTCATCTCTCATTCACCGCTATAGAAGTTTAACCAACTATGACTTCCGCTTCTGAGAAACTCGGAAATGTGAAAAGGGTCATTTTTATAAAATAAGGTCTAATACTGTTGCTTCAAATCAAGGTGTCATAATACTGTTATTAGTATAAACGCATCAATAGAGTCCGCACATTCTACCAAAGAAGACAAATGCGAGATAAAAACAATATTTTACTGAAAAAAGGGGCAATAATGTTGTGATTCGCGTGATTGGTTAGGTAACTCATTAACAAAGACTTTATTTTTTTTATTCTTTTTCAAATCCCCAAGGAAAACCACTTGAGAAAAAAGCTTTAAAATGCTTTCAGGCCACTGAAATAGTGGACAGGAACTGTTGAATTATTTTGTGCTTGTAGTTTATACAGGCTTACATAATCCCAAAATGTCTTAGGGGGGATACTACCCATTTACATGCACTGTAGGAACTCCAGAAAACTGAACATCAATGCTAATTTCTCAGCTCAAACAGTAGAGGAATGCAGTGCAGTTAATAGAGCTCATGTCTGTGAAACAGATAATCAGACCCATCGAGACATGCACCATCAGATGTTTAGTTATGCTTAATGATCACAGAGATTTTACTCTGTCAGCATCAACGAGACTGTGAATCAGACATCGACTTTATGAAGAAATAACTGAATTAACACCTATTACCTTAACACCAATGACTGAGAATGGTCTGATTCACGGGGTAATTTCAGAGGGATGAGGATCATTCATTTCTGAGTCAAGCGATGTGGCATGAGCCCTTTTTTTTCAGACATATCCACATAATGAAAGCATTCTCTATTCATATCACTTAGACTTAATGTATTTAAAATAGATAAAGGTAAACGTTTTGTCCCAACCATGATACAAATTCAAAACTGTAGTCCAGCATTTATCTGTGGAGTTGAAACCTTTGCTAGTTGTTAGAGTATAACGGCATCTGTATAAACGTTATAAATACGTTAAAATGTGGATTTGTTGTCAACATTCTGATTTTGCATTGAGATTTGTTTCCCTTGTGTGCCCAACATCGTCATGTCACTTGGAAAGCTGTCAGTCTGTCTACAATTCATTCAGTCAGAAACGGTGATCATTATTATTTTCCTTTTCTGTCAGTATGTTTGGTTTATTACTTGTTCTTGTAAATCATTCATAAAGCACCAAATATGTAAACCACTGCTATTGAAAATGAAAGAGTTCAACATCAACAGCATGGCAGGCACGGACACACACACACACACACCCTTACAGGCCCGATTTTCTCTGAATCACGGGAATTTAACATATTGATGTATCTTCCCAATGGATACAGGGAGCAGGATTTATACAAGAGGACAGAAGTCATAAACATGAGACATTTCAAATCTGACATTCAAATTCAAAACAATGAATGGATGTCCAAAAGTCCTGTGAGTACATAATGAAACTATTTTACACCAGTCTTTAAAAAGCTTGTGATCTTCCATACTTTCAATGTAACACAAATACAGTAATGGCTGTATAAGAGATATCCTAGATGGATCCCTGGAGAAATGAAAATTGTTGCTTATATCAAAATACTGTTACTCAAATGCTGTTGTTACTGTAGAAAGATGGTACATCACAAATCCATTGAAAGGAGGCTCTGTGCTTTAAATTGAAACTAAAATATAGACAACTATTGCAGTTTATTTCACATTGCACACATTTAAAAGTGTAAAATACTGAAACCTTTGTAGTAAAAAGCTGTTTGAAAGCAAATCCATCCCTAATAACTTCATTAAAAAAGTTTGCAATAATTGTAGCTGTGGTTACTGAACAATGAAGATCTGTATTTATCACAGTTCTCAGTTTCACACTGACCAATCTTCAAACGCTAATCAACATTAGGTAACATAGCTTTTCATTCAATGCAAATTATATTTTCATCTTAATATGCTGAGACTATCATGCTGCACTTTGGAGAATGCTTGTGTTTCTTATACGAGATGGTGTGTATAATAAAATAAACAAATGAGCATTTTTAATAGCTATTTGCTTCAATGATTATTCAATAATTATCTTGTCCAAATATTTTTTTCCCATGACACAAAATGAGTTATTTAGCAGAATGACCCAGCTGTTCTTTTCTATACAATGAAAGCGAGTTTTGACAGTCAAATTCTAAAAGAAAACATCCTAACATGAGGAACAGACCAGAATTTGCTTTTCACTGAAACTTCCCTGCTCTCAGTTAATAAAACAATGAAGAACTGTTTATATTTAATAAAAATAAATAAATAAAAGAATTGTCAGACCAAATCATAAAATGGTAAGGACATTTGACCAAGACAGTCTAGGTCAGGGGTCTCAAACTCAACTGAACTGGGGGCCGCTGGAGGTAGAGTCTGGGTCAGGCTGGGCCGCATTAAGTACTCCACAAAAAAAAAAAAAAAAAATAGTATTCCAAAGAAGGAGCACAACTGATCCAATCGTCTCAAACTTTACTTATATTTGCTCATGTCCTTTTTATTTTCTTTATACAACACATTGATATTATATTGAATGTTTTTGGAAGGCACATTTCCTTTTATTATACTTAATAAAAAATAATAATTGCTTTTGAAATACAAATATTTGCAGCCATGTCTTTGAATTTTTTTCTACATATATATAGTGTCTTAGAAAAATGACTGACTGACTGATACGTGTGATGTGCCAAATCATTGAATAATATAACTTGGATTGACGAATATGACTGAATACACATATGATATATAAGATATTGCCTATGATGATTATATTTTTTGTTACTTTTTTTTCTCTTTTGCACCTTTAAAAGAAAACTTTCTCATCTCATTTCTAGTCATTCTTTTACAATCAGAGCTGGTGATTCTACAACACACAATTTCTTGACCGCTAGAGGCAAGGTACACAGCAGCACATGTAATAGTTAAGTTTTGTCTGTTTCAATTATGACACAAAGCTATACAACTTGGAAGGTGTAAGAGATAGCTTGACAGCCACAGTCACCATCATCTGGAAAAACAGCCAGGACATTCTGCTAGCTAACTCGCGTGTTCCACGGAAACAATGACGTTATGAGTTGCATGACAACGACTACAATCACCGATTGATCGTTTTGGCGTAAACTATCCCTTTAATGATTTTACTGCAATACATTATTTTTGGTTACTGAAATGGCAAAATAGTCTGATTACAGTATTTGTTTCGATAATACCCTATTGTCTATGCTAATGAAAATAAAACAGCTGGCTCGCCTCAGTAAGGCACTCAAAATTTCTGTGACCTAAAAAATCCCTTGATCACATCACTAAATGATAACCAGAAATGCCAGTACCTGGTACTTCAAAAACTAGCAGAAAGCACCTGTAGATATGGGTCAGAGAGTGGAAATATATCACATCCTTACCAAATGGCTCTGCTGGTGCTCAAAAATCCAAAAGTCTCCAACACTTAAGTTGTCTTACATAATCAACATTCAAAACAAGCTTATCGATTATTACAATGAAAAAGAGTTTCATCTGCTACAAAATAACACAGATTCAATTTCGGAATAACCGGTTGTTTTTGGATTGTCCTCATCTCCATCAGTGCACCAAAAATATTAACCTTCCATCCAAAAAAAAAAAAAAAATCGGTCATTTTGTTTTCCTCTATAACTGTTTGCCTTCAATATCTTGATACAGAGAATAAAAACTGTTGAGGGGAAATAATAAAACATTACTTTTAAAAAAGTCCTGGGCGTTCCACATGTTCAGTGAAAGTCAATTAAAACTGTAACAAAATATCAAATGAGCCTCTGGTCCTCTTTGATTCAGTGTCTCTATTTCTAAGGAAAACGTGTGTTTGAAAACCGTAAGCATAAAGGGAATCCACTGAACTTCCTCTAGGACTGTGGTAGGTGCTGTTTGATGATCTCTCTGGACTGGGGTGGTATTCTGTCTGGGAAGCGCACCTGAAACTCCACTATCAAATCGCCGCGTTGGGATGGATTTTTCGGGAAAGGTAGGCCTTCTCCACGCAGTCTCTTGATTGTGCCTGGTTTGATGATATCGTTGCAGGGCAATGTGATGGCTCGGTTTTCAATGGTGGGAATGTTCACTGTGCAGCCACACAAAGCCTATCAAAAAGCAAAAAAGCAAAGTTAAGTCAGTGCAGACAAGAGATGGTACGCTGATGGTAATACACTGATGGTATTTCAACACTTAAGCACAAACTCTACATGGCGACATAGAGACCTAGTGTAAGATGCCTCTGTGATGTTACAGGCACAGAGAGCACATGTACAGGATAGATATAGTGTATAGTGGACTGTAAAAAGAAATCTGAAATTTACAGTAAAAACCGGCAGCTGGGGTTGCAAGAACTTTACCATAAGAAAATATGCACCCAACATTTTAAGTTTTCAACTTATATAAAAAATATTTATTTTGCAACATTATAATGTATTTACTGTCACTATATAAAAAAAACAGATATTAGCATAATTTTCTGAATATTCATTAGAGTTCAAATGAAAATGAGATAAAATGGTCATTGTTTTCATTAATTTTTTTCAAAATACACATATTTTATCAACAATTATCTACACAATAACTTCATTCACATTTAATTAAAAACTTTTTGCAGGAGTTGTAAAGTTTCTTACTTGGATTGTGTCAAAGTGGGCGAGTGTGCGTGTGTGTGAGAGAGAGAGTGTGATGCTGCAGATGTGGTAGCTGAGTGCAGAGAAAGCTAATTCTGGCCACTGCTCTCATTTCACACAGCTAATGAAGCAACTGAAAAATCAGCTGAGGACACAAATTGTGATTCCCAAATCAGAAGTTACTATGGATAAAAAAAAAAAAAGAGAGAGAGACTGAAGCAGGATTCCATAGGCACAGATGGAACACTTTCAAATTGTTAAAGAGGGAGAATTTTCAAAAATAAAAAATCAATACCGGTAATTAAAATTTAATGAATGAAGATTTTTAAAATCGAATCTAAAGTCAAATCTACTTAACTAAGTTATGAAAAATTAACAAAGAGAATAAATACATTTAACTGGGCCAGTTAAGAGTTTGTTGAGTAATTTCCACTTAATCATTTTAAGTACAATCATCGTGCAATACAATAATTGTAAGTACATTTTGCTCACTTACGGACTGTACATTTTACTCAAACAATTTCACACTGAATTAAGCCATGATTTAAAATTGAATGATTTACTTAGCAACATGAAATTAGATTAAATTACTATGCAATATCTACACAGTATAAATAATGTAGTTGTCACACTGGTTGGACTTTTCAGTTAGCACCTTTTCCCTGAGTTCGTTTGTTGTCATGGTTGTTGATTGAATTGTCATTCTGTTCAGCTGTACGCACCTCGTTATCATCAGGATTTTAAGTTCATGTCTTTGACTGTTTTGTCGGGTATTGTCAGTTAAGTGTATAGCTCTCTTCGTTTTGAAAGCTTTTGGATTAATTAAAGACTGACATTTCTCGTCATCATCTTGTTTGTGTTGATCATCTACACAGCGCTGTGACAGTACTATCCGAACCTACTTGGAACACAATGGTGACATTAGATGGATCATTTATAATTTTGAGTAGAAAATAAACTCCAGATGTCACAAAACAGCAAGTTACTAAACTTAACAATGATAAAACAGTGTAAATACAGCTGGAAAGCAGCTAGAAAAAAAGTGATATTAATTGTGCATGCCCCAGTGCATGATGGGAACACCAATATCAGAAAGTTGAGTAGGTTTTACTTAATTTTATAACGTTGATACTTCTAAACTTGAATTGAGTACTAATATAGAATTAACTTTGTTTCTTTAAATTCTTTAAACTAAATTAATGAAGAAATTACATTTGTTTTGTTTTTTTTTTTGTAGCATTTACTTCACCACAGGATTATTTTTATCAGGGTACACAGAAACAATAATATATTTACATTTACATATAGCTGACGTTTTTAACCAAAGCGACTTACAATTGAATTAAAATGCTATGTCAGAGGTCGCACGCCTCTGGAGCAACTACAGGTTAAGTGTCTTGCTCAGGGAAACGTTGGTGTCTCACAGTGGATTCGAATCCGGGTCTCTCACACTAAAGGCACGTGTCTTATCCACTGCGCCATCACCACCCCGTAATATCACAATAATGTCATCATTCGTACATTGCTTTGGATAAAAGTATCTGTTGAACGAATAAATGTAAAAAAAAAATAATAAAATATATCCCCACATCATCACACATCTTCCACCACACCTAGAGATTGGCATGGTTTTACTTCAGTTAGCCTAATAGCTGGTTTGATTTGCATTGAAAGATGATCTTATGGAAAGTACCCCATGCCAATCTCTAGGTGTGGTGGAAGGTGTGTGATGATGTGGGGATATTTTAATTCCAAAGGCCAAGGGATCTTTATCAGGATGCATATTATCCTGGATCCATGAAATAACTGGCTTTTAAAAATAAAAATCTGCCTGACTCTATGGGAATTTAACATAGGGGTGCCCCGACTTATGCACCCTGTATTTTAAGGAAAAACATTTATTTATTTATGATACATTATTCATTCACAAAGAAAATTGGTGTCCTTAAAGGTTGGAGTTTTCCTCATTTTTCTAATTAAGGCATTAAGATCAATATCCTAAAGATGATTTTTTATTCCTCTTTTTAGGCAACTTTAGCATGGGTGCCAAAACTTATTCACACCACTGTATGTCTACGCCATTAACGTCCGCGTCATTCCGCGTGTCTGTACACGCAGTCAAATCTCCAGTCATAAATGCCATTAACCCCAGTGACGGTTAGGTTTAGGGACGGGGTTGAGGTAAGTCATATATTTATATAACGTTAAGTCAACGGCGTTCATAAACACGCTGAAAGGCGATTATGCGTCTTGATAGCACGCCAAAAATGGAAATACGAATTGGCGTGTCATACACACGCTACTTCATGAGATCAGTCTGAGTTTTGTGTTGCTGGCATTTCATGGTACTTGAATGCATTGCATTCATGATGTTAGTGAGATGTTGGTGGCATACTCTGAGCTCTTTCGGAAAGTTATTGCCCATGTGTGTGTGTGTGTGTGTGTGTGTGTATATACACTATATAAGGTCGGTGTATATATATACACACACACACACACACACAGTATAGCTGCTAAGACAGTTTACAAATGTAATTGATAGGATTATATGAACAAGATCCTTCTGTCTAGTTTATATATTTATGTCAGAATTAGTTCATTTTCATCTTCCAACAGAGCTGAAGTTCTTCACTGTTAAATATCAGGATATTAAAAATGAGATGGATAATGATTAAAGCTTAAATGTATGCAGTGAAAATCCTGCGGTTATTGCATGTGAGCTTATGCTGGAAGAACATTTCATGAACTTTCTGTGAATACAAAGCACAAACATTGCCAGACAGCTCTGCTTAGCAGCTGCCTCAAGGGATGAGAAAATGTGTTCGCAATGACATCAGCTCCTTCCTACAGACAGCAGTGGTGTGGTGGGCTGGGGGGATGGGGGATTCAAGGAAAGAAGGGAGTAGCTGGATACTCTTACAAAACAGTTGAACATGACAAGGTGCCAGGCATCTCCTCGACTCTGGCTAATGATGATGTTTCCCAAACATAGTCTTGTTAAGGAGATCGAAAATGAAACAAGTTATTTTATGGTCTACAGCTCGGTGTGACAAAGAGGTTTGTCACTGATCTGGACATTTGCACCAGTGCGAAGTTTGTAGAACATTACCATTAGCATCTACATTAGCAAACCCACTAAGCATGTCCATAAGTATGTCAACGATGACACAGGCAATAAAGTTAGTCAAATGCAACTATTCTCAAAACTCGATTGCAAGCCCTGACGATGTAGTGGGCACTCTCTTTTTAATACCCTAAATGTTTATGAACAGAACTGTGCTTATTTAGACCTCCAAATGACAGACGACTGTATTGTGCACAGACATACCGGTTCGGCACGCTGTAAAGGTGAGTTCAGTAGTTTAGCACTTTGTAGACTGCACTGTCCTCATAAAAGTTTTCTATGAAAAGTGTTTAAATTATGTATGGTGCATGTCACCCCCTAAATGTATTTTGCTAGGTTGAAATGACATGACCTGCAGTTTTACTAAACATCAGAGAATCCTCACACTCATTGGCTTGGCTTCCACATCAGTAGATACGCTAGCGTAGTGATGCTTGATGATGCGAAGAAAAACACTTAGACTCAGTAGTGGCAAGGAGAGAATCAGTTCATGTATGGCTGAAGAAGCACAAAGCTCCGAAGCAAGGTGGAAAGAATTGACAACGAATGGGTCGCATTGAACACTCTAAAACTCACTAGAATCAGAGTTAAGAACGACTGAATTAAAGACACAATGCTCACATTAACAAATTAACTTGATGCAAGATCACATTTAGAGCTGTCTTGAGTAATCCAGCATCATCATACAGATATCATTACGTGGCCTTGCGTTTCCTCAGCATCGCTGCTAACTGGGCTCTTCAGCACTGTTGATGAGTAATTACTAGGTGAATTGGGTATGGAAATTACCAGCAGACAAGGACCTTATAGCTGTCTTGTTCTTGTACAAACCCATGGTCTTTACCAGAAGGCAATTAAAGAAGCTCAGAGCTCTAATTAAAGCAGTGCCAGAGCATCTCTAAATGAACTTTTTAAAATGAAGACAATGGCCCTCATTTATCATTCATGCGTAGAAACAGTTGGCGTAAGAATATGCTTACACTCCTCTCACCGCCTGATTTATGAAGCTGTGTGTACCTTTGAAATCCAGGTGTACGCAATACCTGCTATTTATAAATGCCGCGGCTGAAAACTATTGTCATTTGAATAACACGCCCCTATGAATTCAAGTCTCCGCTTCCCCCACGCCCTCATTTTAAGCCACGGAAGACGACAAAGAAGAGAAACTTCTCCAACGTGGAGACGAAATGACCGATCACAATGCATTATTTTACAGCACGTCTTTTGAAACAATCAGCATTTAATTTCGTATCACGTCACATGTATTGGGGTGTACAATAGTGATGATGATGTGAAGTGGAGTATTAATACATTAATAATTGCAACTGAAGGCTCGCAACTGAAGGAATACATATGCCTACAAATCAAATGCTTTGGTAAATTCACACAAATTAAACATTGAAGTCCATTGAAGCTGAATACATTGAAGTTTTTTAATTACTATGTTGTTTTTATACAGTGGGTCATAATATATCATATCTTTTAGTTTGTCAACCATTTAATTTTTTTTTGTCAACCATTTAATTTTTTTTTGTCAACCATTTAATTTTTTATTTGTCAACTAACTATTTTGTGGTGTTAGGAATTGTTTTTCTGCGCATTTCTGCACTAACTCAAAATGTGCGTACATGTACCTGAGCTGGCGTAGGATTTGAGAGTGCCGCACGCCAACGTCCATATTGATAAATCTCAAAGTCACCGTGGTTTTGGGTATACGCTGGAAATTTGGTGTACGCACTTTGATAAATGAGGGCCAATGTGCCTATGAGAACAGTCTAGATCCATGCAAAATCTATCCCATGAATGCATCAACAATAAACAGGCAGATGAAAAATTGTGTGGCCAGTTGCCATCAGTTTGCATGAGATGGTACCAGATGGCAAAACGGTTTGGTTTGATGTTCACTGGCACTTATCAAGTTTCATTCTGGGCATCTAATGAGCAAGACCTTTAAAAGTAAATCAGTGCTCTGAAAACATATCAGAAAATAGAATGGTACTTATTTAAGACAGACATTGTAAATCTTTCCAGATATTCAAATCTGTGGTTGACATAGCCTATAACAAAAGCCAAAATGCAGTTTTAGACAAAGGCTGGAAATCTAACGGGCACATTATTATTTGAAACAGCTGACAGCCTTGACTGAGCTGTTAAGGTAAAAGTTGTCAAAAGTTAAGTTAACAGAAAGACAAGAAAATATTTACCATTAATAACAGTAGTGCTCTGAAACGCTTCACGACTGACATTAAGGCTATTTCTGCGGATGTCACTATAAAGTATTAACTGACGGTGGATTTCTAGGTCACTAGACTAATAAATATATGTAGACTGTGGTTATTATCCTCAGTGGGTCAGCCCATGAAAATCACATTACATCTAGGCAACGTCAATCGAATTTAATCATTAACTTAAATTATTGCTCTGATTAAAAAAAGCATAATGTTCCAGCATTTAATTACCTGGGGCAGAATTTTCTGAGGTTCTTTTTGGATTCCCTCAGGCTAGCACTGCATCAGTGACTCTATGAGCTGTCATAAACTACTGAACTTTTATGATGAAAACACAAACAGTATGCCACGATACATTGGAAATAAATGTCACAAAAATCTAACTGTTCAATTCCAGTTATGTATGTTTTTTATCTGCTTTTTATTGTGAACAAACTATATTATCCGCAATAATTTTCTGGTTCCAGGCATGAAAATTAAATGTTCCATGTGCAACCCAAGAAACCATGCTTGGCTCAGTCACATGGCAATTTTATATGTGCGGTTCAACTCTTCAAGGCAAGTTCAACTCGCTTTTTCGAAGTTAGGACTCTGCTTTGGCGTATGACACTGCACCATGACATTCCTGTGCTCTCACACTGAAGTGGGAGAGAGTAAATCAGCAATGACTTTGAGCCATGGAGGGACTCTTAAGTCACCGAGCATGATTTTGTTCTATTGAGTCCTACAGCTATGGTAGATCAACACTGGGCACGCTCAGGTACATTTACCCATATACACAGTATAATGTTATACAATAATAGGAATATGTTTCATAATGAAATGGAAGTTAACAGATATATAGTAGGCTGAACTATATTGGGAAAAAACTGACATTGCAATATTTTGTTTTTCTGCTTTATATATTGCAATATGAAAACAATTTCACCAGATGACTTCAATTAATTGGGAAAGAACGAATACTTGTAGAATGGAGGGCTGCCAACTCTCATGCATTCAGACATTGTAATTATAAGGTAGCTTATAAGGCAATGTAGGGACTAAGTATTATTTTATTGATCAGAACTTTAATATATTTTGATGTTCCTCTGTTCTGTTGTGACAATAAAAGAAACAAGTTTCTTTTTAAAATGCTTTATCATATTATTTTAGTTAAAACTCATAAATAACTACAAATAACTATGTTAGGGAAATCTGTTAATGTTTTGTTGGCGTTTCTGAAAAAAAAAAAAAAAATATATATATTTTTTATTTTTTTTTTTTTTGGGGGGGGGGGGTGTTTTATATATCCGATCTATATATATATATATATATATATCGGCCGATATATCGGAATATCGGATATTAAAACCCAAAAATATTTGTATCGGCCTTCAAAATCCTTTATCGGTCGGGCTCTAATGGAAACAGCGCCCAAGTGCCGAATTGAGTCTTCTTTTGCATCTTCTTGTGCTTGAATGCTTTAAACTCATTTGCATGTTTAAACTGACGGGACTTAAAACACATGCAAATAATAAACTTCCACTCTATGATGGTTAAACTTTGCTATTAATCCAGGATTCACATGCGTCAATTGTGGGGCCTGGTCCATATAAATCACAGATCAACTATGTTTCCTAATACAACATCCATCCATCCATCCCTCCCTCCATCCATCCATCTATCGCAGATGCACACATGTTGATGCTGAAACAATATTGTGCAGCCCTAGTCACAGACATTGCAGGAAAATAAAACTACCAATGGTTTGTGTTGGGAGAATAAAACAGCCAAATTTAGCAGCTGTGCAGGTTAACAAGGTCAGTACTTATTTTGGAGAGGGGTTTGATACCAAATGAAGCCCATTAATTTACCCTTTAAGTCCATGTTAATGAGGGCACAAAGGCCAAAGGGTGGTCCATTGTGGAGACTGTCGTAAACCTGTCTAATCTAAGTCTGGGTCTGTCTATTCTTGGGCTACAGAAGGCAACTGATAAAACAACCCAGTCTGCTTTGACGGCCAGTAAGGAAATGTCAAGGAATAGTGGGAAAAAGCCCACAGGTTAAAAAAACAGACTGTCAATTAGGGGTTTACAATAAGGAATTTCTGTTCAATAACCAATATATCAGTAGCTTTTAATCCACCTATTTTATGCATTTTGGAATATCGCTTAAAAAAAAAAAACACTGGATGGAAATGCCAATGGAAATAAGTTCTAAGAATGCGCATAAAATACATGTGCATTCAATTGAGGCGGATCATTTTTTATCCAATGAGAATACATGCTCATAAACTACAGTGCAAACTCATTACCGAATAAATCCCTCTATGCGCAACAAAAAAACAGTGAATGTGACTGGATAACTGGTCTAACCAGCGGACCAATTTTATTATACAGCATCCCAAATATTGGTGTGATCTGAAATGCCTGAGCCAAAGACTGTCACTAGAATCATTTGGTATAATGACCTCCCAGAAGTGTGTCTCTCATGTATGCACTCTCAAACACCAAGTATCTAAATGCATGATGACATGACAGCATTTATTGTTTTGTCTGTGGCCGAGATAAAAGTAATTTACAATGTAGGAATAAAGTGCCACAGTGGCTTCCCTGATAATAGCAACTTCCATTTTTATTACAGATATTTTGCACCAATGGTATTTTGTTTACTTTGAAGGGAAACATAGCTAGTGTTATCCAACTCTGCTCCTTGAGGCACACCAACACTACACATTTTCGAACAATTCCTAATCAAACACACTTGATTCAACTCATCAGCTCATTAGAAGAGACTCCAAGACCTGAAATGGATAGGTAAAATAAGGAAGACTTCCAAAATGTGTACTGTTGGTTTTCCTCCAGTAACAGGGTTGGGAAACACTGCAATATATTGTGGATAAAAATACATGGTGGAAATCATATTGACTGAAAACTGATTGTCAAAACAGTGAAGATTTAAGAGCACATACCTCCTTAAGACCAATCTTGGCTGTGTAAATGATATTGGAGCCATCCCTTTTGAAGAGTGGATGCCCTTTGTCCTTGAGCACAAATGCAATATCAGCAGGAATGTTCTCAGGTGTCTCATCACCCTCTCTGGGGAAGGTGATCTTGGTCCCTTCCTTCCAGCCTCTCTTGATGACAATGTTAAGGATTTTGTCCTCTGTCCTCATTGTCCTTCCATCTGGGTTCAGTCGTCTGCGAGTGATTCGCATCCGCTTGGTACATCCGTGGAAGATCTCTTCTAGAGACACTCTAAGCTCATGTACTACAGGAGGGTCCTGTACTTTCCTCCGGCCGCCATGAAGGGGCTCATTGCGATGTCTTCGACCTCCACCATGGTGAAAACCGTTGACACCATTGAAACCAAAGTGGCTGAAGGAACTGAAGGGATCATCATCTCCATCCATTTCAATGTCCTTGTCATGGTCACCATGGTCTGCAAAGCCATTAGTGGTTCCTCGCTGGCGTCCAGAGCCAAAGAATATATCGAAGGGGTTGGAGCCTCCAAAGAAAGAAGCAAAGGTGGCATGTGGATCACCATGGAAAGTGTAGTGATATGTAGTCCCTTGTCCACTAGATGAGCCTGTGCCACCTGTTTTCAAACCTGAAAGGAAATACACAGGGGGCACAATGTATTAGGGTTTTCTGCATTAAAGTTCTGCCCACAGAACTTCTGCCCTTTTGTGACCGTTTCAAGGTTAAGAAGCTTTCTGAATCTTTTTTTTTAATGCCTACTGCATATTAAAGAATTCAAGGTTCTATAAAGGTAGATTCCTCAATGTAAAGACTATTTTTCTCAAACGAGAAAAGAGTAATTTTTCTCTTTTTTCTTTCTCTCTTTTCTCCACCCCCTCTCAAATGGGCTGAAAAGAACTAGTAGCACAAATCCTGGGGAACTAATGTTCCTGTATGAGTGGAAGGCCATGGCAATGGCATGGTGAATGTTCTCTAAGCTCAGGTGTCTGAACTGTGTTCTGAGTTTGACTGTAAAACAGTGCTCTGCACAAAAACAATTACGGTCAAACAATAAACTTTTTTGAGTATTCAGTTCTGTTAAAAAAAACATTAACACCCATGTGTTATGGTGGATGATTAATGGCTTGTAACAAATGCACTCCTAACCACCAGTACACAAGCTGACTCATCTTGCTTGACATTCACATCTTCAACAACTCTATACTTAATGCGGACATCTTATAAAACATGTTTCCATTTCATTCTTTGCAATTTCAACGAATTCCTCAGGCCAAAACAATCAATGAGGGGATGGTTATTAAAGTGGGTCAATTGGGAATAACAAATTCACATCTTAAAATACAGATTTAAAAACATAGTTTTTCAACGTGTTAATAGAGGCAAATAAGCTCTCTGCTGCAGCCACAGCCTTTTGGGGGAACCCACTGGCTCTTTATTTACAAGCAATATGGAACCATGCCATGGTGCACAGGAAGTACTATTTATGCAAAGACTCTAAAAACATAAAGGGAGTCCTTGCTAAATTCAGGAGTACTTTCAGTGAAGGAGGAATTGGCAAAGGTGTACAACTAGCCTGGCATCTAGCCTGGAGTTGGCATTTGAACATTTGAAATCCTTCTTTGTTTCCTCATACATTTTTATTATTTTGGAACAGTGCCATGTTTATAGTCCTTGCATTAGTCAGAGAACTTTTCCGTATCATCCTGCAGTGTATAAAAAACAGTGGTCTATCCACGTGAGCCACGACAATATCCTTTTAAGGTTTGTCCTATCTGGCATAAACACACAGAACTGTGCCTGGGTCCATGAAGTCTTCTTGTAGCATCTGTAATGTTTTCTCAAACCCCTTTTCCACCAAAGCATTTTGAGAACCGGTTCGGAGCCGGTGCCTGCTAGCGAACCAGTTCTTTGTGTTTCGACAGCCAAAGAACCGGTTCTCGGCCGGGAAAACTGGTTCCAAAGCGGCACCAACTCTTTGTTGGACTAGAACCGTTCTTTTACCACGTTATGCTTACGTCGGGGGCTGGGACGGGTTTAGATGTGTTCTAAACTTCTTTTCTGACCATCGCAAAGCCAGGAGAAACATTTGCAGAAACACGATGGAGTCCACCTTTGTAATTGTTATGCTTGAAGCTGGCGCAAGCGTTTTTATTTTTTTATTTGAAACATAAGCAAAGAAGAAAACAGTCACATTATAGAACAAATGAAGAGTTTGGTTCCAAAAGGCTATAAATCCATTTTGATGAATTTGAGTAAAACTGTGTTTTCTTTAGCAAGAAAATGGGAAGATGAAAACCACTATTTTCGGTTTCAAATTTTCACATAGCATTTGTAGGTTATAATAACAATAAAAAATGAAATCCAGGTTTTGATTTCCAAAGATTTATTATAAAAACAGATCGTTTTTTCCCCAAAATGCAATAAATCCAATAATTTATTTTTTTTCAAAATGCAATTAATCAAAATAAAATTTTATACACATTGAATTTCTTGTGCATACTATAAATCCATTGCTTTAATATAACAATATTCGGTAACACTTAAAGGGTTCATGTCATGAATTATCATGAATTCATGGATAAATGAATTATGCATTCATTCATATTAATATCATCAGGAACTAACAACGTTTTTTTAACAGTTCAACGTTTTTCATTCATGACTTCATGGATGAACAAAACCTTAATTAAAACATTAACTAAGACGAGCACATCATCATGAATTATGATTTATTAAGCATGATCTAACGTTATGCATATCGCTGTTGTCAACCTTGGGACGTCGCCGCTGAACTTTTTTGACGCCGATCAGCTGTAAACTGGCTTGGTCCTGCTCGGTTTTCGTTGACTTTGAATAAAACAACTGAAAGTTTTCCAAAAGATCCTCTGGGGGTCAGTGTGTCAGCGTGACAGAAGTTTGATGCTGTCGTGTGAGAACAAGCAACAGCCGGCATTTCCTCCTCCCGAGTCCATCTCCTTCCTCACGTAAATGATTCGATTTCGATGTCACGTTTACCCATGTAGGATGCCTTACCCTCCGCAGGTTCACCAATGCTGTCAAAATTATTCATTTTTTTGTTTGTTTGTTGATCGAAAGGACAAAATAGAGAAAACCTAGGAAGCCGGGTTAGTTAAAGCGCTGCCGTTACTGTTTACATTGCGTGGAATGGTGCGTTGTGATTGGTTTAGCGGATATGTGGCATTTTGCTGAAAAGGGAGACTGGCGTTTGTCGCGGTTTGGAAAGAAAGGGAGAAAACATTACATAATAACACGGCGGATATCCCATTTTACGTAAAATTAAACATTGTTTTGTATCTGGTCGGTATTGAAAAGTCAGATTTTTGCAGTAACTCATTTTTTTTAAAAATGGCGTTTATCGCGTTTTGGAACCAAACTCTTCAAATAAATGAAAAGAAAAAAAGACACAAGACAGGGGTACATAACTTATCAGAAAAGATTACATATCAAACGAAAAGATTAAAAGACTGACATATTTCAATTGTTTTTAAAGCCTTCTTGGTACACGCGTTTGAGATAATCCGAAAGTAATGTTGTACTTGCAAGCGTTTCTAGCGACGTACACAGTGATGTAACAACGTCGTTCCCTGGGCGCTCTAGTCAGTGGAAAAACAAACAGGTTCTGAACGGGTTCGCAAGTTGAACCAACTCCGAACCAACTTTGAACAGCACCAGTTCTTTTTGGGTGGAAAAGGGGTATTAGAAAAGACATGTTTGAGTACAATGCACTATTTTCAACCAATAATAAGGAACTTTTCACATTGGTAATTAACGCAGAGGAGGGGGAGTTGCTTTTTACTTTAGCGATCACACGTACTTCGCGTAAAGGGTGATAATTTGCGGGCATCAGGTAGCCGCTATGAATAAGCTGGGTACTGAAAACGTTTGAAATTAAATTCACAAACACACACACTCAATGTATAGGGAGTGTAATACCATTAACACCGGCGGCTACCACAGCAAGCATAAAGGCCCTGATATACTTCAAGCAAAATCGTAGATCGGAACAAATTCAGGTCAAAACTAAGTTCGTTTAGAGTTCAGAACAGGTTGCCAAAGCGTACTACCATTACCACTTCTTTCAAGTGAAAATCTATTCTGGTTAAATTTTCCCTGTGCAGTCAGTCAAGGTCAGAAGTCCTTGAATGAAAACATCGTACTTGATTTTATGCAATAAAGTGTATAAAGTGATGTATAAATAAATGTCGTGACTTCACTGGAGTGCTGTAGAGGAGCTCGTGCAAACATAACCACGTTGCTATAATCAGATGCTTTTCTAATGCTTTATTAGAAATAGTGGTTCATGTAGGTTGTCTACAAACCGGAAGGTAGGTGGTTCAATCCCCGGTTCCACCTGACCAAGTCGAGGTGTCCATGAGCAAGACACCTAACCCCAGCTGCCCCCGACGAGCTGGATGGCCCCTTGACACCGCCGTCGTTGTATGAATGAGTGAGTGAACGGGTGAATGTGAGGCAAAATGTAAAGCACTTTGGTGGTCTGTGAAAGCACTATATAAATGCAGTCCAACCATTTACTATTAAAGTGATTGCTGTTTTCTCAATTTTGTTATTGTGTATTTTATTGAAAGCACAGCATATGTTTACATATTCATCTAACCGTCGCTCTCTGCAATGTGAGCGGCATCAGATAAGAGTATACCGTTAATAAAGTATTTCGAACTTTATTTTAGACCGAAACGAATTTTAAATTGCACTTAATAATAACCAACACCAATGTGCAGCATCCGTGTAGATGATGCAACGGCAGCAATATTGTGCCAGAACGCCCACCACACACCAACTTATTGGTGGAGAGGTGAGAGTGATGAAGCCAATCAGTATGGGGATGATTAGAAGAGACCATAATGGACAGAGGCCAATAGGCAAATTAGGCCAGGATGCCAGGGTGACACCCCTTTTATTTTTCAAAGCACATCCAGGGAATTTTTTTTTTTAACAGAGAGAGTCTGGACCTTGGTTTAATGTCTCATTCGAAAGACAGCTTTTTTTCCTGCAAAAACTCGGTCCTAAATGATCTTGTTTCACGAGTTTGTAATCATGCTCCAAAGCAGGGTTTCATAACCTTGGTAAAAAGTGGTGTTAGCACTTCTAAATTACAAATGTGAAACTTTCAACTTAAAGCTGCCTATATGATGGTTATCAAATTTTAAATAAAAGATAACTATTGTTTCCAGAAAACTGATAATGCCCCAATAATGAGTCAAAGAATCTGATGAGGTACTGAGATGTTTGGCTGTAGTACTTTTGTATATGAAACCAAACACACTCACCATCCTCGCCATACTGGTCATAGATCACTCTCTTCTTTGGGTCACTCAGAACTTCATAAGCCTCTGCTATCTCCTTAAACTTCTCTTCAGCATTAGGATCCTTGTTTTTGTCTGGATGAAACTTTAGGGCCATCTTCCTGTAGGCTTTTTTGATTTCATCCTCATTAGAGCCTGCAGGTATGCCAAGGGTCTTATAGTAATCCTTCCCCATGGCTTTAATTTACAGATAAGAGTTCTTCCAGAACCACCCCAAGCTCTCTACAAAACAAAGATGCAAATAAACAAGGTAACCAATAAAGAAATACAAATGCATTCAGGTTTGTTACTCTGATAGATTGATCAATGCAGTGCAGTAAAATCCAACATTTTCAAACTTATTGGTTTGATGAATGTGTTGTGCATAGCCTATGCTGTCATTTTCTTTGTGCGAGAGAGTTGATTAGCATGCGGTGACGGTGACACGGTGGGTGCACAAAGTTCATCATTACGCTTTTCAAGAAATCACGGAAAGATGAGCGAGAAGTAGAAAAAACACAATCTACATCTGTGCCTACTTCACCTTTCCACGAGAAGACAGCGAATGAAGAAGCATCTGAGGCTTCACAATTAAGTAACTAATGTAGTGAGACTTCTACAATACAAATCTCCACAATGGCAAATAATTGTTTCTCATTATAACAGCGGAAACAACTTAAAATGCTCTGTCATCTATGGTCACATATCACTTGAAACTGTAAAGGGTCTATTTTTATTATTTTTAATTTTTTACACACAAAAACTGTGCTTTTGTGAAATAAAGAAAACAAACAGAATGCTGCTTTCTGCCATTTCGGTTTTCTTTTCATGAAGTTGAGTGTCTGCGTCACAAAAATGTATGGAAACTGTGGATAAGCAACTTGTCGCACAGTTTTTTCTTTATTTTTGTTCATCTGTAGGTCTATTTAAGTGAGATTAGTATTTTAAGTGTGTGAATCCTCATGTTCTGTTGTTTATGCTGAAATTTGCATAAAACAAAACAAAAACAAATTTAGGTATTTTTAATGGGTCACAGACACTTGACACGGTTGTTCAAATTTAATTCTATAAACATAATTTTATCGGTTGACGAGCATCGGTTGTATCAAATAGGCTATTTACATTTAAAACACAAATTGGCCAATTAACTATACAGTGGGGAGAACAAGTATTTGATACACTGCTGATTTTGCAAATCATCTAGAAGTCTGTAATTTTTATCATAGGTACTCTTCAACTTTGAGTGATGGAATCTACAACAAAAATCCAGAAAATCACATTGTATGATTTTTAAGTTATTCCTTTGCATTTTATTGCATGACACAAGTATTTGATCACCTACCAACCGGTATGAATTCCAGCTCTCACAGACCTGTTAGTTTAAGAAGCTTCTTTAAGAAGCCCTCCTGTTCTCCACTCATTACCTGTATTAACTGCCCCTGTTTGAACATGATACCTGTATAAAAGACACCTGTCCACAAACTCAATCAAACAGACACCAACCTCTCCACAATGGCCAAGATCAGAGAGCTGTGTAAGGACATCAGATAAAATTGTAGACCTACACAAGCCTAGGATGGGCTACAGGACAATAGGCAAGCAGCTTGGTGAGAAGTTCAAGATGATGGTCAATCTCCCTCGGTCTGGGGCCCATGCAAGATCTCACCTTGTGGGGCATCAATGATCATGAAGAAGATGAGGGATCCGCCCAGAACTACATGGCAGAGCCTTGACCACAGAGAGCTTGGACCACAGTCTCAAAGAAAACCATTAGTAACACTCTATGCTCTCAAGTCAGCACATGTCCAGGCCCGCCTGAAGTTTGCCAATGACCATCTGGATGATCCAGAGGAGGAATGGGATAAGGTCATAAGGTCTGATGACACAAAAATAGAGCTTTTACATCTAAACTCCATTCGCCGTGTTTGGAGGAAGAAGGATGAGTACAACCCCAAGAACCCCATCCCAAACGTGAAGCAAACATCATTCTTTGGGTATGCTTTTCTGCAAAGAGGGGACAGGACGACTGCACCGTAATAAGGGGAGGATAGATGGGGCCATGTATCTTGGCCAACAACCTCCTTCCATCAGTAAGAGCATTGAAGATGGGTCGTGGCTGGGTGAAGGTACTGGAGTGACCTAGCCAGTCTCCATACCTGAACCCAATAGAAAATCTTTGGAGGGAGCTGAAAGTCCATATTGCCCAGCGACAGCCCCGAAACCTGAGGATCTGGAGGAATGGGCCAAAATCCCTGCTGCAGTGTATGCAAACCTGGTCAAGAACTACAGGAAACCAATGAACTCTGTAATTTCAAACAAAGGTTTCTGTACCAAATATTAAGGTCTGCTTTTCTGATGTATCAAATACTTGTCATGAAATAAATTAACTAGCCTACTTTAAAAAAATTATGCAATGCGTTTTTTCTGGATTTGTGTTTTAGATTCCGTCACTCACTGTTGAAGTTAAATATTATCTATGATTAAAAGTTACAGACTTCTACATACACAACTTAGTAAGTGGGAAAACCTGCAAATATATTTGTGTAAATATATACACCTGAGTGTGTGTGTGTGTGTGTGTGTGTGTGTGTGTGTGTGTGTGTGTGTGTATGGCCCCCTCATTTTAAGATGAGGAAAATAACATTTAAATGGGAATAAACGAAAATTAAATTCTGAAATATATTAGCCATTGTGTGTTTTAAATGTAAAGTATTTGAAATTGATAAGTTTTAAATTAACTGTTAAGTAATATCAAACACACAGTCTCCTACGGCATTTCAGTCGTGCTAATATAAAGAACAGCGGCACTTCAGCTCGTTGGATATTATATTATCGCCTACTTATGCAGAGATCTTTTGCTGCAATCAGTCACTGTCCACGATATTCATAAAAACACAAGCAGTAAATATCGTACAACAATATTCTACTATCATTTATTTCATATAGTGGACAAGAGTGTTACACAGCATGCAATAACACAGACGTAGGCTTTTTGAAAATAAACTGTATCGCGTTAAGAGAAGCCCTTGGACATTTGAACGTATCGTTTTGTTTGGGCGGCACTGCAGAAAGCAACACAGCTCGAGAAACACTAACAAAGACTTAATGTTCAGCATATTATAGCCTACATCAGTTTCGATTTACACACATATAAAAACGCATGTGTTTAAAAAGTGTCAAGTTGCATTTAGGCTGACGTTATTTGCTTGTTTGGTCTATTGTCCGTTTAACAGAGAGGAAAAGAACGGTTCTAAAATACACACATCCCTAGCCTTTATACCTATACCCTTCGACAGATCACGAAAGATTTCATTAAAGCTCACCAGTTACAATATCTGCAGATTATGATGCCGGTTTGCCGCATCCGACAGGAAATCCTCATCGCTAAATCAAACCTCTGAGCTGAGGTCTCCCGGTATTCCTCTCCGGTATTTACTGATGTCACGCTGACCACCAATGAAAAAATAACGGGACGACTGGTGACTGAGTGATATCTCACTGACGTCAGTAAGACAAGCCAGACCTCTTTATGTATTTTTGGCATAAAAATAGATGTTGGATTATCCGCGTCTGTACCATCATACAGTCATATAGGCTCTGCAGAGTGTACACACCAGGGTTCCGATTAGACATCATTCTTAAATTAGACGCAAGAAAAGATGAAATCAATACTGGCTGGCTGTCTTAAATCGTTCATAGCTTTCTACACAGCAGGCGGCGAGGTTTTGAAACACACGCACTTTCATAAAAGTAAAGACCATACAAAAAATAAAAGCCTGGAGCTGATAACAGTCTGTAATTAAGACGTATTTACAGTTATTGTATCAGTATTAGCCTAATCATTACTTTTCGTTGAGCTACTGAAGATGTCAAATTCTCTCCGGCAAGACTAAAGTTTTTTTTAAAACAGACTAGCTTTCAAAAACTCTCTGTGAAATCTTACAGGAAATGATCATTTATGCTGTCAATCACATTTTTGATATGTGTTTCACTTGTATTTGTGAAGGCATATAGAAATTAAAAACAGAGCTTACCGTGGCGTGTGAAAATATCCTTTAGCTGTCTGCCGGTTAGACTTACAGCAGCATGACATTCTACTCCATTCATTTGACCACGCCCACAATCTGCATAAGCCCCGCCCCGCACACGCAGCACAAATAGGCATCTTCAAGAATCATCTGCCAGTGTAGACATCTGAGAAAGTGTGCTCACAAAGAAGGGAAATTAATGTGACACAATTTTGTATTGACTATTAGTAGACACTCATAGCTGTTTTCACCAAATAAATTTGTTTTAAATATTACAACATTTTTCAAATATTTATTCTAAATATTTGTTTTTCTTCTATTTGTATGTACAGTAATATGTGTGTACTTTTAACCTAGAGTAACATTTTCTATTTGACAAATGAGAATTTGATTTTGAGGAAGGTGTAAAAGAGCTGCATCAAGTAGTGTGATGATGCAGTATCCACAGTGTTTTCTGCTGCTTTTATGCCCTCTCCACCTCCAAGCATGCGCTCCTTACCGCCTTACATAAACCGCTAGTCATCAAATCGTTATATATATATATATATATATATATATATATATATATACACTCACCGGCCACTTTATTAGGTACCCCATGCTAGTAACGGGTTGGACCCCCTTTCACCTTCAGAACTGCCTCAATTCTTCATGGCATAGATTCAACAAGGTGCTGGAAGCATTCCTCAGGGAGTTTGGTCCATATTGACATGATGGCATCACACAGTTGCCGCAGATTTGTCGGCTGCACATCCATGATCCGAATCTCCCGTTCCACCACATCCCAAAGATGCTCTATTGGATTGAGATCTGGTGACTGTGGAGGCCATTTGAGTACAGCGAACTCATTGTCATGTTCAAGAAACCAGTCTGAGACGATTCCAGCTTTATGACATGGCGCATTATCCTGCTGAAAGTAGCCATCAGAAGTTGGGTACATTGTGGTCATAAAGGGATGGACATGGTCAGCAACAATACTCAGGTAGGCTGTGGCGTTGCAACGATGCTCAATTGGTACCAAGGGGCCCAAAGAGTGCCAAGAAAATATTCCCCACACCATGACACCACCACCACCAGCCTGAACCATTGATACAAGGCAGGATGGATCCATGCTTTCATGTTGTAGACGCCAAATTCTGACCCTACCATCCGAATGTCGCAGCAGAAATCGAGACTCATCAGACCAGGCAACGTTTTTCCAATCTTCTATTGTCCAATTTCGATGAGCTTGTGCAAATTGTAGCCTCAGTTTCCTGTTCTTAGCTGAAAGGAGTGGCACCCGGTGTGGTCTTCTGCTGCTGTAGCCCATCTGCCTCAAAGTTCGACGTACTGTGCGTTCAGAGATGCTCTTCTGCCCACCTTGGTTGTAACGGGTGGTTATTTGAGTCACTGTTGCCCTTCTATCAGCTCGAACCAGTCTGGCCATTCTCCTCTGACCTCTGGCATCAACAAGGCATTTCCGCCCACAGAACTGCCGCTCACTGGATGTTTTTTCTTTTTCGGACCATTCTCTGTAAACCCTAGAGATGGTTGTGCGTGAAAATCCCAGTAGATTAGCAGTTTCTGAAATACTCAGACCAGCCCTTCTAGCACCAACAATCATGCCACGTTCAAAGTCACTCAAATCACCTTTCTTCCCCATACTGATGCTCGGTTTGAACTGCAGGAGATTGTCTTGACCATGTCTACATGCCTAAATGCACTGAGTTGCCGCCATGTGATTGGCTGCTTAGAAATTAATTGTTAACGAGCAGTTGGACAGGTGTACCTAATAAAGTGGCCGGTGAGTGTATATATATATATATATATATATATATATATATATATATATATATCTGTTCATTACTTTTTTAAGTCAGTTACATAAAAACGTACTGGTTAATACCGAAAATTAAGACTGACAGGCCCATGACTAAATAATGGGTCATACTTGATCTTAAGATGCACCTGGCCCCTGCAGTCAATAAGAGTGCTCTGTCTGGCCCCAGATCAGGCTTTACATTAACACAGCAGGGGACGAGACTCTCCACTGATGTCTGGAATCGTACTCATCTAAGGTCACTCCACAGTCTAAAGTGTTTCTACATTCAGCCTCCTTTGCGTACAGGCTCTATTCAGGAACGCTATTACATAAGTTAACATCCAAGGCCTTGGATTTTCCTTTTGAACTGTTTAAATCTATTAGCTGCTTCTGAATATTTCTAAAACTATATTTACACTGAATTCAATATGTTATGCAATGCTCTGAGAGTCGGGCATGGATGTGTGCTTTTGTAAGGCATGCAGACAGATATTGCTCATTAGGTGGATAGAGAGTTTATGCAAACCAAAACAGTTTGGTTACCAACATTCTTCAAAAAAATAGAAAGTCATACAGTATAAGAAATATATATATATATATTTTTTTTTTAGGAAAACCAAACTTGTTCTATTAACATGCAGATGAGTCATATATTAAATGCTGCATCATGCTGCATTTTTATTAGATTGAGTGAAAATGTCATTATGAATCCCCATGTCTGGATCATTTGCATAAAGGTAGCTGATATCTTTAAATAGGAAGAGCGGCTGAAAGAGGTGGACTGCTGGGAATAAGTGCACCTGAATCATCATCAGAGTATTTGAGTGTGGAGGAGAAATGTAAATGATTGGGTGACTCAGAACCTCCCACAGGCGACAACTTAAGTGCAGTGACTCTGCCATATTCTTACATGTGGTATAAGAAGAGTTGAAGAATTGTTGTTTTTATCCTTTGTAAGAGTTGCAATGACAGATTTAGACATCACACAGGTGTTGGGAGAACAGTTAAATCCGAACTCTCAATATTCATCCGGGGGCAGTTTGATCGTCATAAGTAAGTTTTCTGTCCCAATTCGTGCAGGGTTCCCCTAAAGGCTCTACTCCATCCAGAAATACCCCCAACCAACAGCTAGATAAGTGTATCCATGGCAACCGGCTCTACAGACTGTACCTCCACTGTCCATCCACCTCTTCAGTTCTTCTTGACGCAACTAAACGATTAAACGACTTATACGATTAAATAAACAAATAAATAAATAAAATCCCTCTCACGTATCCAACTAACTGATGTATTGCAGGGCAAGGGTGGCAAATCTACAATATGTACAGCTATTTATTTCTAAAACATCTGTATGACAAAATGTACGTCATTTAATGGCCATACAGAAGCAAGAACACTGACTGTACAAATGGAGAGAACACACACACACACAGAGAGAGAGAGAGAGAGAGAGAGAGAGAGAGAGAGAGAGAGAGAGAGAGAGAGAGCACCGACTGGGTTTGAATACCGGGTAACAGAACAAATTTCCCACACAAAATGTACTTCAGCATCAGACAGCATAATGGTAGCCATGACAACTGGGCCTGGAGCTAGACAGTCCGTTTATATCTGAGTCTTTGTCACTGTCTTCTGATTCCAATGACATCTGTCAATATAGAACAATACAAAACAGAGGTTTATATCATTAGGGAGATTGGAGAAGACAGTTTAGTGTAATTGATGTTCTCCGCTGTAGTTACTCTTAACTTTTAAAGGGACAGTCCACCCAAAAATGAGCATTTTCTCATCCTTGAAAGTGCCTTTGTTTCTATTGTGGAGTTATAGCAGAATGTCCTATAGCTTCTCTTTTTATACAATAAAGGTGAAGAATGATGTCCAACACATGCGCACACACACACACACACACAATCTTTGTGGGGACTCTCCGTATAGACATAATGGTTTTTATAGTGTACAAAATGTATATTCTACCCCATTACATTAACCCTACCTCTAAACCTAAAACACATTTTCAAAAACATGATTTAGAAAAAATATTGAAAAGATAATCAAAATACATATTTTGGTCTAGAGGGTAATTTAGCATTTACACAGATAAATCATTGTTTTATTAAATATTATCGGAGAAGGATTTGTTCGCAAAATTCAGAAGACATTCCTGAAGTATAGCTCATCGTCACTCAAAAAAGTCTGTGGGCTGCAGACCCAAAGGTTATAGCTACATCTCTAAGCATGATGATTCAGCTGGAAATGAGATTCTTATCCCTGTCATTATTTGATGACACAACTTCTATTTCTGATACTATATTTTCCAGTTAAATATGTGTGCAGAGTAATATCTATTTTAAAACACATTTAGAGAATGACATTCTCTATACAGACCCCCTATTGGGATTTTACATGAAATCAAGAGTCAAGACTCACAGCATGTATATGCCATTACCTTAAAAAGCGTCAGTTGTTCGTCATTTTACTTTCACTTAGTTACAGTGTAAGTTATTAGACGAAAAAGTTTTCTCTGATAATAATATAGAGGCTACAGTGATAGAAGTCCCATAAATGCAAGTGGAAATTCTGAGCCATGTTCTCGTTCTCACTCCTGGCACTCGCCGTCCCTCTGCTAAAACGGCACGATGACTCAGACTCACTGCTGCACTGATTTCCAGCACTGTAAAACTTTTGTTCAATACACTTATAAGTCAATCCATCAGAAACAACCCTACAAAGAGGGTTGTGAACCCATAGAAGGAATGCTTTTTCTTAATAACGGCTTGTCAGACTTAATAATGGAAATGTGGCAACTAAAGTTGGCTGTTATATTAAAAGAGATTCATCACCAACAACTGGCAGTTAATCCTCATAAGTCATGCGTTTCATTAGTGCTGTGCCTGTATTGCAGATATAGGATCTCCCATGTAAGTGCAATGCAGTCCCAGTTTTCAGCGCATGATTTATTGTTTCTATAATGTAATATAATTTACCAGTTAAACAGCAATAATCATAGGTGAAAACGAAAGTGCACACTTTTTAATTGTATCATTTTACGTAGGACATATTCAAAAATAACCTGGTCTTTAGCAGGTCTTAAAATTAAGTAAATACAACAACAAATTATATTTTTGCATCATGTCATTATTTATTTAACAAAAAAATGTATTAATTTAAATTTATTTTAAATAGTTTTAATAGCTTAAAGACCACCTTTGGCAGCAATAGTTTGAAGTAATAATTATTACAGTATGACAGTATGGCATTTGTTTATACACAGCTCTCTTAAATGGATAGTTCACTTTGAAATTTATTTTTGGTGTTTTAGCTTACCTCAAGGGCATCCAAGATGTAAGTGTCTTTGTTTCCACAGTACTTTCAATTTTGATATTTTTAGGTCAAACCGTTCTTGTCTGTCAGTCATATAATGGAGGTATATGGGGTCCACCAAAAAGATTATGCACAGAGAAGTCCAAATTAAACATTAATGACTCGTGAATGCAAGTACACACTGATGGCTTAAGACACGAAACGAGCGGTTTGTGTGAGAAAACCAACAGTATTTATATCGTTTTTACCTTTTGAAACCACAGCACGTCCAAGTAATCTGAGGGCGCTTCCGTCTGAATGCACCTGAAATAAATGAAAGGAATTTGATTAGTAGTGCCTGACTTCTACTTAGCCTCTTAATGGGCTCTATGCACGGCGTTATTTCCGGTGAAGGATTAAGGATGCTCGATAACTTCCGCCGATCATAGAGTCCAATGCAATACCGATAGTTTATATTGAATTTTATACTCCATGGTTATACTAATGAAACGTTAGTCACAAAAACAGATAAAACAGACACCCCTCGTTGTGTTTATGCTTCTTTTTAAAATTATATTAAATAAACATAACTATATATAAAATTACATCTAAACGTATGTACGTTTCGTTTCAAAGACGGGAGGACAGTAAATATTGAAGACTCTGCCATAATCCCGTTTTCTCCGGTTTTCCTCCGCTTTAATCTACACAACCGGAAATGGACGAGCATCCTTACGTCAAATGCGGAACTTATGCGTGCATATAGCCCATTCCTATGGAAGCAGCAATGGTGTACTTAGTTTGTCACACATGGCATCTCCAGTTTGACCAAGGTTTTGTTAAATAAACCATTACGGTGTAATATGCCATGTGTTGTTGTTATTATGTCCCTATAAAACTATATCAAAAGGTTGAACTTTCTTTTTCACATGACTAATTCTGTGCATTTGTCCTCTTGACCTCTATGGCTTTTACAAGTATACAAACATAAACTCAAATGTCCAGCATGTATTTCATCCTAAACCAAAAAACTGTGTCCACTGTATCAGTCACAGTCCTCATCTAGAATGTGACTGTGGATGTTGAAGCTACAGTACAGAGTATGAGTATCTTAGGTTTCAGACGAGGTAAGCTTATTGAATTCTCTCAGCCGCTTACCTCAGACAGCCGCACACAGTCACAGGCCTTTAGCGCTGCTGCGGTTCCCTCCACCCATTTACACTCTGGAGATCAGGAAACCACCACACTGTAAAATAACATAGAAATTAAGTTTTGTGAACTTGACAATTCCATATAACTTCCTTTTTTCCAATTATGCATGAAGTTTGTGGTTCTGCCCTTAGAAAAAGTCTTAATTTAAGGTATCATTCCTTAAAATGGGTGGTTTGATATATGGCTGCAGAACACAGCTACAGGACTGGAAATAAATGAATGAATGAATGAATGAATAAATGAAGTGATATATGTAATTAAATGTGGTAGACTGTAGGAGAAGCGTCAGAAGTCCAGCTGGCACCGCACTAGATACAAGCTTCACAAGTTGATGGCACACGGTCAGATCACCATAAGCTGCTATCCATTTGTATCATGTTTTTGAGGACATAAACAACACTGCTATAGCAAACTTCAGATCTTAAATGTTAACACTAGTGCCAAGCCATTGGGAGTTGATGCAGAACTCGCAGTATTTGCATTTTTTATTCTCTTTTGTTTACTTTTATAATATGTACATCCATGCTGGTGCACTACTATTCACAGATGCTCCTGCGTGTCATTCTGGCTTAGATGTGAAAGAATGCATAAACAGCTAAACATAAGAAAAGACACATCTCAGTCTCCCATCTGCTGTCTGGGTACCCTGATAACACTCCCTCTGTAGAATCTATTAAAGTGGATGAGATCGCCATGGTGACCGCCATATCCTGCGATGTGAGTTTTACACTTACACTGCCTCAAAAGGGTACAACTGACCGATACCATTTTGTCACATTAATATGGCTTTCTCTTACAGATGGACTTAGTTGAGGAGTGCATAGTGTGCAGATAAATGCTTTCAGGTCAGTAAGGAAGGGAAGACGATCATACATACACTTTTCCTTTGATTTTAGGTATTATTGACCTTAGTTATCATTTCCATTTCAACGTACATGACAAATAATTTGACGATTTTGTGAACGGATGACATTCATGGCACAAGAGGAACACTTTCACACTGAAAACATTTTAAGGCATGTCATGTTCTATGCAACTTTATACATTCACACAAGTGTCCAGGTTATTTCAATAGTTGTTCTGCTTGATTTTTTTTATTATTATGCATATGTACATATGTCAATGATAATACATACATCATGTTAATTTTATTTTATAATTTGCATCGGTTTGTCTGGGGAGGATCTAAACATCTATAACTCTGCTGCAGTATTATGGAAAACAGTGAATTCTGTGCTATGAGAAAGTATAGAAAATGACCTCTGAACGGTATAATAAAAGTACGCAGTGAATCTCCAGAAGTGCTCACCTAAAATCTTTAGTCAATAATAACGGCAACCAAATATGGAAATACCAACATGCTGGCAATAGAATCACAGAAATAGATTTTCAAATTAATATTAGTTCTAAAATGATTGCTATACACCTAAACAAATACAGCAGTAAGCACATTCATTCAATCTCATATGGTAAATAACAGCCATTTTTCTGAGGAGAAACAAAGTTTTTAAAAGGAGAAAGGAATGTTAGATGTCAAAATTGTGAACGGTCTTTAACGGAGCACTTCTGTATTTAAAAATTAAGTGCACTTATTGGGCAGATCACATGCTGGAGCAGTTCATCTTGTTTAGACATTGTTGGCCAGAGCAAGTTTATACTTCATACAAACAAAAAGATGACAGTGAGAAAGATATAACACTTCTTCACATCGAAATGTAGATGACCAACCATTATTGATTAATTTGCATGAGCTCGTAAGGAATGTACTTTTTAAAAAGCACATTACAAAAACATATTTACAAAAAAAAATTAAATAAATAAAATGTAATATTTTGTAAAATCACCAGCATATTTGTTGTGCAAATCAAATGGGAGAAAATTGCTAAATGAGGTATAGATACTGATTAACATCAGATATCACCAAAACATACATGCTTCATAAAACCCTCACCACTCCAAGATAAATGATATAAATGACTACAATCTTTTTGATGAGATCTGAGAGATTTCTGTCCCTCCATTGACAGCTACGCAATTACCACTTTGACGCTTTAAAAGTTCGTAAAGAGATTGTAAATCCAAAAATGTATCAAAACACTTGATCGATTTACGTATTTGATTATCAGATTTTATTTAGACTTTTATTTGCATATAAACATTGATCAGCGAACATAAACAGCTAAACCGAACCTGCGTAACACACAAGAACAAACCTCGTTGGTTCTCACTTCAAGTGAACATGCTTGAGCTTCCATTTACCACAACTGATGTGTGAGTTTATGAATCTTTATATGTGAATGAAAGCCTAAATTAAATCTGACATCATATAAAGCAATCGTGTATCTTCAGAAAATTCGGACTAAACCGCTCAATTCATATGGATTAGTTTTACGATCTCTTTATTCACTTTTTGATGCATCAAAGTGTCAGTTGCGTTGCAGCCAGCGTGGGGTCAGAAAGCTCTCAGATTTGATCAAAAATATCTTCATTTGTGTTTCCGAAGATGAACGAAAGTCACAGGTTTGGAATGATATGAGGGTGAGGAATTAATTAAAGACAAAATTTTAATTTTTAGGTGAACTAAACCTTTAAAGGATGGCATTTTAGGGAAAAAAAGGGGCAAGCATGATAATAATGTGAGAACGAAAGAAAACTTGTGTACCGTTTTTTAATAACATTAAGCACAGTTTAAAAAAATGACCACTGTCTCAGTGTCTAAAATCGTGATTTAAATGCATCCCTCGCTATTCTGTCCTTTTCCAGAAAACACCTAAGAGTGTTTAATGTGAGAAGCTCAATGCACTGATTCTCAACAAAGAGCGCTCTATTGTCTCATCTGGAGTTAAAGTTGTTCTCCGGGAGTTTTTGTAAGGTTTCACAGAGCTTGACAGCAGGCGTTGAATCTTGTTTTGAGGTTATAGCTAACGGATGATGTCCAGGTAATGCAGGTCAGTGTAGAGCGCGTTGACCAGCAGGGTCAAAAGGCTGTTGCTGTCACGCAGACAGTGATTTGGGTACTTGATGAACTGACAGGCTTGGTTCACAGACACATGCAGCTCTGAATACTGCTTATTACTCAGCATCGCCTCCAGTGCAGATAAGGCCTGAAGACAGAGAGTAAACATTCAAGGTACAGAACAATAGCATTTGCTTTTAACAAATAATCATCAAATATCTAAAGCATATCTAACCATCAGAAAGCCACACAACAGAAAAATATTATATTATATAATATTATTTCTGTCATGACAACTCTCTGAGTAATTGGCATGGTAATGGTAATAAATACTAGCCTGGCAAGCCAGACCTACATCAAGATGTTAGGTCTGGGAACTCACAATTGGAATGCCTCAATACGAGGGGCGGGATAAACGGTTGTCTTTCAGTATCCCTCTCCATGCAATTGGATAGCGCTAAAACCAACCAGAGCAACGAACGGCTGTGGCTGAGTGAGTCCCATACCAGCGGAGCTAGTTGATATAGTAAACTTTTGCCGTATTCACTCGTCAAAACTCCAAACATATCTTCCTTTTTTTAAGAATGACTTAAGTGACATTCTCTTAACTCCAAGTCCTCCAGAGTCGCGGTCAAAGCCGATTCGAAAGACCGCTGTTCGCCAGCAGCATCTTGTTTGTTTTCAAGTAGCAGGAAAATCAACTATGGAAATCACGGCTAAGAACCGTCACAACTCTACAGTTTTTGTGTTAAGCCCGCCCACCAACTCTATACACGATGTGATTGGCCTGACCAGAGTTTGGTTTTTCCATTTCAAAAGCCAACGGAGAGTTTTTAGACCACACTGGCTGCAAAGTAATATTTGCTGCCTCTAGGGTGCGTCTAGATCTCTAGGCTAAATAAATACAGCAATGTTAATGTATTTGGTCTTGGCGGAATAGATCTGTTACGCCGCTGCTGCTGCAGAGCAAGTACTGAGACTTGCTACTGCCAATACATTCACAGACATTGCTGCGAGCACAGAAATCAATCTGATGCACTTATTTTTAGTCTTGCCTGTTGATGACGTCACACTTTTATCGCTTTCCCTGGAAACTCTTACCTGTTGGGCTTTAGCTGAGAGCTGCAGGTCTGTGCCCTGATGAAGACGCAGCTGATTCTCTGAGGGCACCTGAACCAGGAGAAATGCTGACATGCTGCGCGCCACAACCCGAAACCTGAAATGGAGTAAGAAATTCAATTGTGAGGCATGCAAATTCACACAATTCTACTTTCATGAGATTTAATGGAGTGCAGTAACCCTTTTAATTCCGATGTGGACGTCAAACCAAAATTCTACTTCTAGCAGTATTTTAACAGCTCTAAAACTTTTCTCACCTGCTAGAAAGGGGCGATTTCCTCCCAAGGCCGATGGCTCCCAGAATGCCTGAACTCAGTCTTTCTTCACTAAGTTGGGCCAGACGGTTCTGGAACGCCATTAAGGTGAGAATCAGAGTGTCAAGTGTGCAGGTGTCCTCTTGGTCCACCTGGATCTGCAGAAGCTCCAAGAATTTATGCCACCATAAAAACAGCTTTGCCTCATCAGCTGGACCACTGCAGGAACAGACGACACACTCAGGTCATGAATACAAGGCTATCTGCACGGTTTTTAAATATAATTTATTTTTTATATAATTAATATTATTATATTATTAATATTATTGTGTAATTAATCGTATGGGGGGGGGGATGTTTATGGTAACAACTTAAACCATAAAATGACTGTAAAAAAATTATTTAAACTGTAATAAAACTGATTTTAGTTTCAAGTTTTATAAAATTCTTAACCTCACATTTCATCATGTTTTATTTTATAGAAAAGGGATGTCGACATGATAAATATAATGATTGTATATTACATATATTATTCTACCTTTTTTGTATGCAGACCAGCCTCTTATCGATCCTCCGGTTAACATTTACAACACTGTGTGCTGACCTTAAATTTCATTTTAAAAAACTAATTAAGACTTTAAGGACATGAGGGGACCCTGAAATAGTGCCACAATAAGCACTAAAGT